TGTAAAGATAAAGGGGTTAGTTCTCCAAAAGGACATAATAATTCTTAACATGTATATACCTAACAACAGCGCATCAAACTATGTGGGGCAGAAACTGATAGAACTGTAAGGAGAAATAGATGAATTCTATCATAGTTGAAGATTTCAGCCCCCCCCTTTCAGAAATGGACAGATCCAGCAGGCAGAAAATCAGTAAGGACACAGTTAAGTCAACAACACCATCAATCACCTGAATAGAATTGACATCTATAGACTACCTCATCCAGTACCAGCAGAATACACATTTCTCTCAAGTTCACATGGAACATTCACCAAGACATTCTGGGCCATAAAACCCACCTTAACACATTAAAAAAAATAGGAATCATGCAGTGTCAGCTCTCAGACCACAGTGGAATTAAAGTAGAAATCAATAACAGGAAGATAACTGGAAAATCCCCAAATATGTGGGGATTAAACAACACTTCTAAATAACACAGAGGTCAAAGAAGAAATCTCAAGAGAAATTTAAAAATATTTTGAACTAAGTGACAATGAAAATACAGCTTTTCAAAATTTGTGAGATGCAGTGCAAGCAGTGCTTAGAGGGAAATTTATAGCACCGAATGCATATATTAGAAAAGAAGAAAGCTCAAGAGTCGGTAATCTAAGTTTCCAGCTTAGGAAATGAGAAGAAAAGAGCAAATTAAATCAAAGTAAGCAGAAGAAAAGAAGTAAGAATAAAAAAACAAGGAAATTGAAAATAGGACATTTGTAGAGAAAATCAAGGAAACCAAAAGCTGTTTTTTTGAAAAAATTAATGATACTGATAAGCCTATAGCCAGACTAAGGAAAAAGGAGAAGGCACAAATTAACTAGTGTCATAAATGAAAAAGGGAACATCACTACAGATCCCATGGAAAGTAAAAGGATAATAAAGGGATACTATGATCCCCTCTCACAACTCCTTTGTACTGGAAGTTCTAGCTAACGCATTAAGACTAGAAAAGAAAATAAATGGTATACAGATTGGGAAGGAGGACATAAAACTGCCTTTGCTTTCAGATGACATGATCTTGTACATAGAAAATCCTAAAGATTTGACAAAAACAAACAAATGTCCTGGAACTAATAAGCGATTACAGCAAGGTTGTAGGATATGAGATTAATACAGAAAAGTCAATCACTTTCCTATATACCAGCAATGAACAGGTGGAATTTGAAATTAAAAACACAATACCATTTACATTAGCACTTCCCCAAAATGAAATATTTAGGTATAAATTCAACAAAATATGTATAAGATCTACATGAGGAAAACTTTTAAACTGAAATCATGGAAGAATTAAGTAAATGGAGAGAGATTCCATGTTCATGGATAGGAAGATTCAATATTTTCAAGATGTTCTCAACTTGATCTATTGATATAAATTTAATGCAATCCCAATCAAAATCCCAGCAAGTTATTTTTTGGACATCGACAATCTGATACTAAAGTTTGTATGGAGAAGCAAAAGACGCAGCATAGCCAACACAATATTGAAGGAGAAGAACAAAGTTGGAAAACTGACACCACCTGACTTGAAGACTTATTATAAAGCTAAGTAATCAAGATAGTGGGGGTGTGGGTGAAAGAGTAGACAAATGGATCAATGGAACAGGACAGAGAGCCCAGAAATAGGGCCCCATGAGTATAGTCAACTGATCTTTGCCAAAGGAGTGAAGGCAATACAGTGGAGCAAAGGTAGTCTCTTCAACAGATAGTGCTGGAACAACTGGACATCCACAAAAGCTAACTCAGAATGGATCGTGAACCTAAATGTAAAACACAGAACTCCTAGAAGAAAACAGGAGAAAATCCAGATGACCTTGGAGCACTGTGATTTTTACGTGGTTCGTGGTTTACATAGGAAAATCGGTTCATAAAAACAAAATTTGCTTTGTGTGTAATACTCAGAATCATGATAAAAGCTGGAGGAATAACTCAGCTTTAAACTATATGGCATCTGAGAGAGGAGAAGGAGGTGCGGTGGGGGGACTTCAGCGGGGAGAAGGCAGTTCACACGGAGGTGGGAAAGCAGATGTTTGGTGACAGATGCTTGCTGGGCCCCCAGGGACAGTGGGACACACAGAGGACTCTGGTCTCCCGGCCCTGTGCAGCTCCCCCCAGCGCCAACCCGTGTTCTTTGTAGATCTCCGGTGACAGTGCCCTTCCTGGACCAGGGCCTTTGTCTGAGTTCTTTAGGCAGTTAAGGGGCAGGTAAGAAGCGAACTTGCCAAGGCTTTCGTTTTTTTAAAAAATAATCAGCCTAAAATAATCCTCATGTTGAAGAGACACCTATTGGGTAGCAAATTCTGTTCCCCTACAAAGTCATGGATGAAGTTTAAAGAGAAGAGAATATTACACTTCTCAAATTTTGCTTCTTAGGTAGTAGAAGCAAAGAATTAATGTCCAGCTCCTGTAGATTGCTGGTACAAATCGGATACCCTTTGAGTGAATTATGCGTTGAATTTTTACTGTATTGATCTTTGTGTTTAGCGAGACTGACTCAATACTCAGATTAACTCACTTAAGTAGCTCTTCTGGCGTCCTATTAGAGATGCATTGTCATCCCCTGAAGAAAAGTCCATAATCACTTTTCTTCTTGCCTGACAGTGACGTAACCTTAACCTGAAGAAATTATTCACACCTGTTATTATTTCCTACTATAAAGATAGGCGCAGTGTCTGCTTTCTGCACCTTTCTGGCCTCTTTTTGGAGGCCGCGCAGCCTCACAGTAGAGAGAGGAGTGGACCTGAGCCCCGGCCCGTGCACCTGCCCGCTTTGCTCCTGAGCAGGTGATTGCAGCTTTCCCTCCCCTGTCGATGGAGATGAGAATGCCCACTCCCAGGATGCTGCAGAGGTGAGAGGATAAGGGTGGGCACACCTGTACTCAGGTTTCCACGGTGGCCGGTAACAAAGTGCAGACGTAGCCACCTTTGTGTGTTCCCAGCCCCAGGCTACTGGTGTCCGGACTGCCCTGTGCCTGGGGTCACACAGGACTCAGAGGCAGCTTGGGTGAACCTCGGGCATGTTTTAATTGACCACATTTGATGTCCCGACAGCAGACCACAACCCTTTACGAGCCGAACCCAGGAGTAGATTTTCTCCAAAGCTTCGCGCAGGCTGGGTCCTCTCTCTGTAGGACAGGATCTTTTTCAGTTGCGCCTTGGTTCGGCTCCCTCTGAATTTAACAACCCACATACTGTAGCAAATGACAATTTCAGGAAAGCCTGAGGAGGAAATTTGATTTTTCTGTCCACGGGTCCCATCTGGGCTCTTCTCCCAGTAGACTTGGTATCCTGTGACCTACCTCAAGTAGGGCTCGCAGAGTTCCATCTGGGATTCTTGATGTGCGGGTTTTTAGTTGAACCCTTTACATCTATGTGTGTTCTTGTCCTTCGCTTAAATCCTAGCTTGCATAAACCCTACTTAGCAGACAAGGAAAGGGGCCCTGGTTTTTGTACTCACCGAGCAGTAAGGTTGTGAGGAAGGGAATGCCCCGAGACCACCTTGTATGCAGGGAAAAAATGAGAGTGTAGTGGATGGAGCATTATTATTTATCTGTAATAAAGACCTTTGACCAGGAAAACAAGAACAGAAGACATTGGGGAGGAAGCTATGGCTGGGCGTGTTTTTTTAAATTTTTTGTTTAAAAAAAATTTTTTTTTAATGTGGACCATTTTTAAAGTCTTTATTGAATTTGTTACAATATTGCTTCTGTTTTATGTTTTGGTTTTTTGGCTGAGAGGCAGGTGGGATCTTAGCTCCCCGACCAGGGATCAAACCTGCGTCTCCTGCATTGGAAGGTGGTGTCTTAACCACTGCACCGCCACAGAATCCCCCTGGGTGTATTTTTAAATTCTCTGCTGGAAAAACTCTTCTTCCCTCTGTTTTAATCCTCCTGCTGTGACCCTACTTCAGCAACGCCTCTTATGTGAGGAAATCAGTTATCTTCCCCATGTCCCGGTATTCACTGTTGTCCCCTGAGTATTAGTTTTGTCCTGGCATGGGAGATGAACCACAGCCCTAAGGGACTGATCCACCTGGTGGTTCACAGCGTGAGCCCTGGGCAGCTTTGCCGGCCTCTGGAATGTAAACCCAGTCCCTATTCCAACACTCAAGCTTTTCCCTTTTTATAGGAGGGGATCTTTTAAATATTCTTAAAAGATCTCTTTTTCTGGTCCTTATTAGGTAGTTCAAAAACGAAAGTTTATGCAAATCCTTCATAGGAAGATAGGGAAAAGATTGTTTTCTGTCCTGGAATCAACAGTGGTATCTGTACGCAATTTAGAGTGAAGTATACACAGACCATTCAAATAATTTTCTGAAGTAGAACGTCACCTAAAACGTTTGGAGACCACTGCTCTAAGCCACAGTTGCCCCGTCTGTAAAATGAGAATACTGCTTCTCGGCTCTGGTGATGGTTCTGTGGATTCAGTAGGACCATCTTGGTGAAGGTTTCAGACTCTGCCAGTGCAGAGTAAGTGCTGGGTAACTAGTAGCTCTGATTAAGTGTCGTGATTCTGGATGTTATTTTCAGTGATTGTTTTCATGTGCTCTTGTGTAAATCCTTAGAGATAAACACTTGTACTTTCTAACGTCAGGAAATGTGTTTCTCATGTATCAGGCCACTTACTTGGAATCATACGTACGTTGATTTTGAACTTGTTAGATTGCAGAAGCGGTGGCAGCAGACACAACTCTCTAAACAGGAAAGCAGACGTTGCCGGTGATCGGATACAGAATTACTTGTTTGTGTGTGTCATGCCTTGTTTGTCTGTGGTTCATGGAGTGTTTAAAATTCATACAGTACAGGTACTTTTGAAATTTGGACAAGATTAGTTTTCTGGGGCTATTTTACTAGTTTTTAGATGTTAAAGTAAGCATAGACGACAGTGTATATTGTCCTTCAATTTTGAAAGAGATTCTTTGTTGTTTCAGTTCTAATCTCCCTTGCTATCTCCTTCCTGTGTTTCAGGGAATATCTTGGTAAACAGCTCCAGTCTGAGCAACCGCAGACCGCAGCTGCCCGGAGCTGAACGGGCGCTCAGCCGCGGGGTCTCCAGCGCCCCTTCGCCTGGGGCAGAAGACCTGGAGTGTGAGTCTCAGTGATTAGAACAAACAATTTCTCATTTTACGTGTCATTTTCTTCTGTTGTGTAGCTTTCCCCAGTGCTGATTTCAACACGAGTGTTTGCCCGTTACTTTGTATTAAAGTAGGTGCTCTCTGTATCTAAGGAAAACATTACTGTTACATATACTGCTTGTAATTTCTGTATTTATTATTCTCTGGGAATGAATATAGAATTATTAAAGGATTCTCACTCCAAATATGTTTTTGTCTTTCCTTGTTCCTGACTTGGCCTTTAACACAAATACCTCTTGTCCCAACCAAATTGGGAGAATTGTATTTGCAAAATAGTGAATGGTAAATAAATGTTTTGAAATTATATGTATCTCTGTCTTCCATCCGTCCGTCCATCCACATCCATCCGTCCGTCCATCCACACGTACACACTGCGGCAATCCTCTGCTAATATTCAGAGAACTTTAAAATGTTAAATTAACTCGACGTGATGCTGTGGTCTAGAAGATTTGCCTATGGAGCACAGTGAGGAATTTTAGCTTTAGACTATTTTCATTGATTTCCTGTACTTTTATTCTTGGATTTTGGTACCTCAAGTCTATTTTCTTTTAATACGCTTTGGTTTAAATGTTGCCAGTAGATATTTTATCCCACCCCCAGCCCCAGCCCCTTATTCTGGAACGCCAGGCCTTCAGCGGGACATCCATGGCCTGTACGTTCACGTCCCCCAGATCTGAGCCTTTTGTTTTTAACCTTATGGCCTGGTCTCTCTGAGTCTCATTTTTCATTCATTTTCATTTTATTTTCACTTTTCATTCCTAGCAGTTCTCTGAATGTTGAGTTGTTGAGTAAAGGTTGTAAGGCTAATAGACAGTTTATTTGATAAGTTTTTCTTCTACAGAGAGACACTCATAGGATCCATCTCCTGTTTAAGGATGAAGGATTGTCTCATTTTCAACGTAGAGATCTTGTGGGAAGAGTTAGTTGAAATAGTGGTCGTTGGTGGGTTCGTGTGACTCAGTGATTTTTCTTAGAGTTGATTTCCTATTTTCCAAGAAAATAGGTAGTCTGATCAAACCAATTTTTTTCTTGACTGAAAGTTCTAAATTTTTAAAACTGCCTAGACCCAGACATTTTTACTTCTTAAACATGGAAGAATACTAGCCAGTGGAATTATAGATTCTGCATTAGCGAAGGATCAGTTTTCATGTTAAGGTATTAATGGTCTGCAAAGTTATTAGGTTCTTAAGACACTCAATTTCTAGAAGTTCTGGTAACCAGAGACAGTGAAATCTTCTGAATTTCGTAAGAACACGTTGATTCTCTGATGTCGTACTTTCTGATTTTAGTTTCATTTTGCATAGGCCTGTAGCTACAAAGTAGACAGTCGTCTTGGTGGAAATCATTGGTGCTCTAATCCCCGAGAAGTGCTTTTGTACATGGGGAGCAATACTCCCATGCCCATGTTTTAATTATTATCCCAAATATTAAAATTAACTCTCTCTAGGTACTTTTTTCCTTTTAAATCTTCACACTCAGCTTATAGAACTTATAACAATTACAAAACAATCACTTTCATTTTTTTCTGTGCTTAATGTTTTTAACATTCAGTGATTAAATCCTCCTATAAATATAATGCCACTTTCAAGTAAACCGCAGACACTAACAGAGTGGAGTTCTAACTCTGACAAACAAAATCTCAGTAGGTAACCCTTTTTTTAAAAAAAGACCAGCTAATATTCTATCCATTGACAAGCTATAAGCCATATTTGGGTACCCAAGTGTCAAATTCCAAATCTGTTCTGAGAATCACCTCTTTTTTTCTTTTCCTTCCAGTTTTATTGAGATATAATTGACATGTAGCACTGTGTAAGTTTCAGGTGTGCAGTATAATGATCTGACTTAACATGTGTCATGGAATGATCATAGTAGGTTTAATGAACATCTGTCATCTCATGTAGATACAAGATTAAAGAAATAGAAAAAATATTTTTTCCCTATGATGAGAACTCCTTAGGATTTACCCTCTTAACAACTTTCATATATAACATACAGCGGTGTTAGTTGTATTTATCATATTGTGTATTATATCCTAGTGCTTATTTATAACTGGAAGTTTGTATCTTTAACCACCTTCATCCAACCCCTCTCCTACCACCCCCTACCTCTGGTGACCAGACGTCTCTCTCTTTTTATATGAGCTTGTTTGTCTTGAGGTACAGTTGACCTACGACACTGTGTTAGTTTCTGTTACACAACATAGTGATTTGATATTTCCATACATTTCAAAGTGATCGCCACAATAAGTCTAGTTACCATCTGTCACCGTATAAAGATATTACATAGGGCTTCCCTGGTGGCGCAGTGGTTGGGAGTCCGCCTGCCGATGCAGGGGATGCAGGTTCGTGCCCCGGTCCGGGAGGATCCCGCGTGCCGCGGAGCGGCTGGGCCCGTGAGCCATGGCCGCTGAGCCTGCGCGTCCGGAGCCTGTGCTCCGCAACGGGAGAGGCCATGACAGTGAGAGGCCCGCGTACCGCAAAAAAAAAAAAAAAAAAGATTACATAATTATTGACTCTGTTCCTCACACTGTACACATCATACTTGTGGCTCACTTATTTTGCAACTGGATTGTACCTCTCTCACCTATTTCTCTCCTCCCTCATCCCCCTCCCCTCTGGCAACCACCTGTTGATTCTCTCTATCTATGACTCTTGTTTATATTTTGTTACATTTATTTGTTTTTTAGATTCCACATATAAGTGAAATAATACAGTATTTGTCTTTCTCTGACTTATTTCACTTAGCATAATACTCTCTAGGTCTATCTATGTTGTCACAAATGGCAAGATTTTCTTTTTTTAATGGATGAGTAATATTCCACTGTCTATATATACCACATCTTTATCCATTCGTCTGTTGACGGGCACTTTGGTTGCTTCTGTATCTTGGCAATTGTAAATAGTGCCGCTGTGAACACTGGGGTGCAGGTGTCTTTTTGAATTAATGTTTTCATGTCCTTTGGTTAAATACCCAGAAGTGAAATTGCTGGATTGTATGGCAGTTCTGTTGCTGACTTTCTGAGGAAGCTTCGTACTGTTTCCCTTAGTGCCTGCACCTATTAATACTCCCACCAGCAGTGCATAGCATAGGGTCTCTTTTTCTCCACGTTCTCACCAGCACTTGTTTTCTCTTGTCTTACTGATAATAGCCATTCTAGCAGGTGTGAAGGAATAGCTCATTGTGGTTGTGATTTGCGTTTACCTGATGATTAGTGATGTTGAGCATCTTTTCCTGTGTCTCTTGGCCATCTGTATGTCTTCTCTGGGAAAATATCTATTCAAGTCCTCTACCCATTTAAAAATTATTTTTAACTTGTTTTATTGTTTAAAAAAATTTTTTTTTTGGAAAACTTTTTTGGGTTATATTGACCCTTATATTTTAAAAGATGTGTGAAAGGGACATCTCACTGGCAGGTAAAGCTTGTTCCCTCACATTGTACCTGGACAGTCACAAATACCAGATTTATAGAACATATCCAATTGAAAAAAATCTTCACACTTCCTTCCTGTTTAGCCACATCGGAGTAATTGAGGTTAGTTTTTATATAGTTAAAATGTAAGTAATTTCGTACCTTCTAGGTGTCAAATCTTGGAAAGCACAGAGCCAAGTTTTGATGCTTTTGATTTATTCGATAATTGCTTAAAAGGTGCTCCATTCTCATCCTTTGCCTTTGAAAATAGAGAATATTTGAGACTAAAATTTGAAAACATTCAAAGTTAGTAGGTGTCAGTCACTTTCCAAATCTGAACCTTGTGATGTAATCACTTTTGAGCTTGAAATGTCTCCCTTATTTTGCTGTACACAATGTTCGTTCTGGTTAAGAGATGTGGCTCTTTTAACTTTCTGAAAAAGTTTCCAGTGGAAAAGTCAGTTGGAAAGAAGACTGACTTTTACTGCAAATGTTATGTTACCTCAACATTCATGCAAATCCGACACTGAGGACACATTCCCTTTCAATTCTTAGAAGAGAAAGAGTCGATTACTCTTCCAAAAATAGAAAAAAAGTGGAAGAAACATTTCTATGATTGAAGGAACGCTGGTTCTAAGATGCTTTACCTTCTGGTACGTGTCTGTGCCTTTGTCTCTTTCCCCTCTCAAAGGAAGAAAGAAAATATCAGGGAACTTAGCTGAAAGAACCAATGTACAAAAACTATTGAATAACCACGTATCAGGTAGAAATAACATACTTGCGACAACATCACAAAGGTTGCAAGGAGGAGGAAATGGAATTATACTCTTATGAAGTTTTTACATGATACATGAAGGGGTATAACATGTAGACAGTGATGAACTAAGGATGCACATTTAATTCCCTAGAGCAGCCATTAAAACAATAAACTAGGAGGTCCAGCCAAAGAACCATTACTGAAGATAAAATGGAACACTAGAAATACTTGATTAACCTGAAGAGAGGGCGGGGGGAACAGAAACAAAGAAGAGAGGGGCCACATAGAAAACAAAGTGCAAGAAAATAGATGTAACCCAACAGTAACAATAACTACGTTACAGAAGGGGTCTGGGAATCCCACTGTTACACATCCAGAATTTTAACTCCAGGACACCCGTTGGCTCCAGTTCCTGAGCCTGGGGAAGAGGGGGTGGGTGATCTGGTGTGCTGAGTGACTTGCTTCCATCACCTTCCCCCCGCCTACCCCTTGGCAGGCTGTTATTAAAGGAGAAGAGCAGAAACCTAAGTCAGTTGCCATTTGTCCATCTGCTCTCCTGTATTTGCTGTCATCTCTCTTGTTCTCTTTGTCTTTGAGTGTTTATTCCTTTTGATTTGTTTTTATTCCTTTTTTATCCATTGGAGCATTTGAGCGGGGTTGGGTAGGAAGCCGAGAGAAATGCATGTGTTTAGTTCACCATGTTTAACCCGAACTCCCAAAATTTAATCAAAGTTGACATGTAAGATCCATGTTAGAATAAGCCTAGATTAACCCTGGGAGTAAGGGGGCGGATGTGCCAGTGTGTACGGCCTCAGAGTTGGAGGGGTTTTTGAGTCTGTCCGTTCTAACAATGTTTAACATTTGAGGTGGTGCGAATTAAAATTAGTACGTGTAAAGGAGTGAGAACAGATTGTAATCATTACATGTGACTATTTTATGTAGCATGACAGACAGATTATCTTGCCTCTTCTCAATGTATACCAGTGACAGGCTACCTGTTTTATTGCAAACAGCTCTAGTTAAGAGTGTTTTCTTGCTTTGAGACAGTATCAGTTTCTAGTAAATTTCAACATTTGGGGCAAGGTCTACCTTTGGAATAACAGAACAAGTCCTATCCTTAAGATTCTATTTTCTTCTA